TTTATTATAATTTCCATCATATTTATTAAATTTTTGGTTTCACTGAACATTAAAAGTTCTTTGCTTTCTGCAAGATTAAGGGTATGATTCTGCCAAATATTAACTATAAAGAATATTTTAAAATACATTCGTACTATTCTTTGCATTTCCTTATATTTCTTTATGGAGTATGTTTCAGGCAGAGAACTAAAAATTTGGGGTCACAGAGAAAGTTGTGGAAATTTATCGGCTTTGGTTTATAGAGACTTGAAGTTTTTTCCATCTTTCTGGTATTTTATTCATGTAAGTTTGCATGGCTTCTTTCCTTTCCTTCTCTTCCTCCGCCAGGTTTGGTTTTGAGCTTTGGATTCAAAGAAACCCCAAAGTCAAAACAAAATGGTCAGAAATGCTGACTCTTGTTTTGCAAACGTTTTTAGTCCAGCATTCACAGGAAAAGAGGGCACTGACCAGAAACTAGGACTAACTTCACCCAGAATGTTGGCAAAGTTCAGGAACCTTTGAGTGAACTTGCACCAAGATATAGATATATAGATATATAACAAAACTTAAACATTTTTTTATTTTACATTAAAGATAATTTAATGAAATAATATCACCCTATAAGAAGTGGATTTAGTACTTAAAATTCAGTATTAATCTACCATTTATTTTTGATAAAAACAAAATAATTTACATTTTGTATTAAATACAATCTCTTGGTTTTTCAAATTGCAGGTTCACTTTGGAAGCTCATATTATAAAATGTACCTAAGTGTTCATTACCTTTGAAATTTTCTTTGGAGATTTTTAATTAAGGAAACAGTTATGCTAAACTCTGCTTATCAGATTTCAAATCAGAATTTTTATAGCTTTGTTATAAACCTTCCACCATTGTGTTTTTATAATGGAAATGCTGACAAATGCAATAATAAATACCAATCCAAGGGTTTTAATTGTATGTTCATGCAGGAATTATGCATACTAGCATAATATTTGGTTCAGTTTTCAGTGTTAATTTTGCCAAAATCTGCTTTCACATTCGCAACCGTAAAAGATGATCGCCTTGAATAGCTGCCTGTTGATGTCAAAGGCTTCTGATTATTTTTACTTTCCTTGGAAAGTCTGACTATGTCTTTCAAATATGATTTCATTTAGATCTTTTCTTGGTTTACGTGTCTGAATACTAATAGTAACTGGATAATTATGGAGAACTTAGTTTGAGACCAAAAGGCAAGTTTCAGTCAGTAAATTGTGTATAAATAAATCACCTCCAAGCAACATCTGAAATGATACTTAGTTTCCAAATATCCAAATAACTTATAGATTTCAAAAACATTTTTACAATTTTCCAGAAGTTATTGACATTAGGACTTTTTTAATTGGTGGAAGATATTAAAAAACCAATATCTACTTATATTTTATTCATGTTTAAAAGATAAAGAATAAAACATTTTAACATAGGATGTGTTATAGACTAAAATCACTTGTACTAAAAAGTACACTGGGGGCACCTGGGTGGTGAGGTTGGTTAACCATCTGACTCTTGGTTTTGGCTCAGGCTTAGGTTGTGATTTCAGGGTCCTGAGATCAAGTCCCGCCTTATGTTAGGCATGGTACTCACTGCAGAGCAGCCTGCTTGGGTTTCTCTTTCCCTCTCCCAGCGCCCCCATACTCGCTCAAGCTCACTCTCTCTCTCTCTCTCCCAGGTAAATCAATCAATCAATCAATCTTAAAAAATGTACACTGACAGATGGCAGCTGCATCTGTGGTGAGCATAGCATAATGTATAGAGTTGTTGAATCATTTTTTTGTATGCCTGAAACTAATGTAATATTGTGTGTGACAATATTACAACTACAGGAAATATGTCAACTACAGGAAAAAAATAAAAGTACACTAAATTTATGGATCTTATATAAAAAAACTAGAATGGTCATATTGCTTAGAAAAGTTGAGTGTCGAAATATGGAGGTGTAGTGGATTCATGTTCAAGATGCAGATGATTTTGTCTTATCTCTATGGAGGATTTGGTGTGAGAAATAAGTCAATCCATTTCTTTTGTGTTTATAATCCTTATTTGGCTTCAAATTATTCTATCAGTACAATGATTAAGAAAGTACCTTAAGAGACTTTGACATTTTAAAGCAGCTTCTAAACATACAAAAACATTTACAAAGAACAAAACATTTGCACTTTAACAGATTCAAGATTGGTGGACATAAATATTTTAGTGATAATGAAGAAATCACTTTTCATATAGAGTCTTTTTAGATATTATTTACTATGCTGAAGAGGTATTCACTGTAGGATATTAAGTGCTTCCTAAGAATATGACAGAATGGTTCAGAGTATGGACGGGGTTAAGGATGATGGAGGCTTGTATTTACTCTTTAGGACCCAGTGATTTTTTTGAGGTCCTTTGTCTACACAGATTTCTTTTTTAAATTTCTGGTTTTCAAAAAAATATTGATGATTCCTAGAGTTGAACCATTTTTAAAAAAAAAAACATCAACTTTTTTTTTACATGATGTTTAATTCTCAGGAGGACTTTATATGGGGGAAGGAAGGGAGACTGTGCAAGTTCTTTCAATTTTGAACCCACTCTATATGTAAAATGTCAACACATTTTTCACTGATTAAATAAATAACTGGATAAGCATGAAGTATTGATGGAGTCACCAGCACTCCATAAGAAGTTGGGAAACAATACTGTTTAATGAAAAGTTGAGAAATAATTAGTTATGTTCTTTCAACATATTAAAATGAGTAACTTTAAATTTATCTTTAAAAATAGAGGAAGATACGCTAGTCTCAGTGACCAAAAAGTTATCTAGAAAAAGAAGAGAATGAGTAGTTTTACTTTATAAAACTGATATAGAGGTCATTGTCCAAATTTCAGTTCATTTTATTAAAGGCACTAGAGAATAAAAAAAAATACACTCCCTGATTTTGCTGTTTTGTTTTTTTTTAATCTTATCTGGTTACATTTTTTTTCCTTTTACCTGTTATACTGATGGTATGGTAGAGGTGGAAAGATATGGTGAAAAGACAATCAAAATATGAAATCATCTTTGGTAGGGTAGTCATTTCAGAACTATTTCAGTTCCTATAGATAGAAGAACTAAGAAAAATTTTAAATAAAGACACTTGAGAGACAAAGCAAATCCCTGCAATGCTGGTGGGCGGGAGTGTGGACTGGCAGAACCCACCTGAAAGACAAGCCATTTGTAGCCACAAACTTAAATGTACATTTGATGAAGAAATTTTACTTCTAGTTATCTAATACCAGGAAATTATCACAGGCAGAGAAGACATTTAGAAGAATGCTCTTTGCATCATCGTTTATTTTTTAAAAAAGGAAGTATCTTAGCTATCTACTTGTAAAGAACTGGCACTAAATTGTGATACATCATTACAGCAATAATATACAGTAATCAAAATTATGTTTGAATAATATTTAAAGCCAGGGAAAAGTGCCCATTCTATATTGCTGAATGGAAAAAGATCAATATCTAAAAGTATCTCAAATTTGTTAAGCATATTTAATTTATATCTGTACAGAAAAAAAGAAGGAAATAAAAATGCTAACTATGGTAATGTGGAGTGATTTAAATTTCATTTTTTTTACTTTTGTTTTCCAAACTTTCTAGGATGAATATATCGTACTTATTAATAAAAAATGAATTATATTCCTAAAAGTATAATAGGGAGAATTGTGTGTATGTATATTGTATGTGTGTGCACAAAGGTGTATGACGTGAAGTGGCAAAATAAAGTATTGGGCTTTATCCTTTAGAATTTCTGAATTTACGATTAGGCGGGGCTTGTTCACTCAGGTTCCTCACTTACCTACTCCTATCTGAAGAACCCCAGTTCAGGTGTTAGCAGGTCGCCCAGAAGGAAAAACCCTGGAATGGCAGAGGATCCAAACCAGAGGTGGGGGCCCTCGCCTAGGTTCTGCTTCAACCTCATCTCCATCACACACATTTTCCAAAATGGAAGAATGCATCTCCTCCTTTGAGTTTTTGCTTTGCCCGTTCCTAGATGCGGCTACAAAGAAAGGTATCTTCTCTACCTACAGCTAAAAATTTTAAAGTGCGCGCTCAAACTGCGCTGCGCCTGGGAAGACCAGGTCATTCTCCCGGAAGCGCAGGGGGGACGCCCCGCTCTGCGGCCAAAGTTCCGAGAGCCTAACATCCCGAGGCAAGCCCAGGAGAATCCCCGACGCTTGAGCCCGAGCAACCCCAGTCCACCTCCGGGTTCAAGCGTCGGTGTCCTGGAGCGACCCGAACAAGGTTTCCGGTTCTGCGAGTTAAGGGGAAGAGAGGGGAGAATGATGTCCCTCCTCAGAGGTCGTCTGTCCCCCGCACTCCCCTTCCTTCCTTATTTCCTTCCTTCTGTCTCTAGACAAGCCAAAGAGGACCAGACCAGAGGTCCGGAGTCCCTTGGCCTCTCAGAAGACCCCGCACCCCTTGCAAATGTTTCTGTCGCAGGACACCCCCCCTCCCCCCGCCCCGCGCTAAGGGCGCGGGCGGGACCGGAGCGCCTGCCAGAGACTGGGCAGAACTGACTCTTGAGAATTAAAAAAAAAAAAAAAAAAAGTAAGAACGTCTATTTCTTTTCTTTTTCTTTCTTTTTAAGGAAAAGAGAAGATTTTTGGACTCTACAGAAGCCCCCGAAGTCTGCAGTTTGGGGAGAGGATTAGCTCCTCACCCAATAGGCGGCAGAAGCTGTTTCTGGGCGCTCGCGTCAACAAGCCCAGCGCGTTCTAACTCCTAAGGCGCCACGCCCGCCCCTGCCCCAGACTCCACGGAGAGCGTTCGCGTGTATATTAACTACGGCTGCCACTCATCTCGAGGGCTGTGGGGATTTCGCAACTCCAAACCAAACTCCAGAAGGCCAGACATTCTGTCTTGAAGAGTCCCTCCTGGCCTTTCGGCCGCATCCTGCCGGATCCCGAAGCACCCCAAGGCCGCGCGCGCCCAGGAGGAGGGGACAGACCCCCCCCATCCCACTCCGCCTCAGCCGGTTTCCTTCTTTTCGCAGCCTTCCAAGAGCTCGGTCATGAAGGAAATGTAGACGATGGCCAGGCGTAGGGTCTCGATTCGGGACAGCCTCTTCTCGTAAGCAAAAGTGGGCACCTTCCTTCGCAGCTGGTCGAAGGCCTCGTTGAGGTTGAACATCCTCTTCCTCTCGCGGATGTTGGCTGCCTGGCGCTGAGCATAGGTGATCACCCTTTTCCTCTTGGGACGGCCCAGCGGGGAGGCGCCTCTCCCATGCTCCTCTTCCTCCTCCTCCTCCTCCTCCCCCTCGTCTACTTCGCCCTCCTCTTCTGGGTCCTCCTCCTCAAAACGTGCCAGCCTCCCGCGTCTTCCCTCTCGGAGCACAAGGTCCCGGTCCCCAAAGGGAACCCCGGGTACGAAGTCGCAGAGGAGAGGGTGCCCAGGGGAGGCCAGGGACAGGTCTGCGACGAAGTCCAGCACGGTGGCGTCCACGCACCTCTCCGGATAAGCCGCCATCGCATCGACTTGGCCCTGCCTCGCATCGGTTTCTCCCAGGGAGGGGCGAGACTCCTAACAGCTCTGAATCTGATGCGGCACCATCACCGAAGGGCCAGGGGGATTAATATTTATAACCAAGTTGATAACAGGATTAGTGGCACCGATAGGGAAGGCTCGGACAATATCGTCCTCTGGAAACTGATGGAAGAAGACAAGCTTGAACACGCATGGAAGTCTCAAAGGGATAGGCCTCCAATTCTGAGATCCTTTTCGATGCGCCACCTGGGACAGTTTGGCAACAAACCCCCAGCCTCTTACCTGCTGTGCTTTTTGTGTCTCTCCTCACCCCCCGCAGCCAACTAATATTCTTCAGGCTCCTTATCTCATGTAGCTCTTTAATTTAGCTTTGGATTTTCAAAGCAAGGATGTTTTCCACCACTCTGGCTTCTCCTTGGCTTCAGAGTAGAAGTCCTGAATCTTGCCACCCGAGGCTGCCAATGGGTGTGAAACAAGTGCATGTGCTTTTAATGATGTCCTGAAGAGGGGCCCTTTCTGCCAGGGGTCGAGGGGAGCTGTTTGTCTGGTATCCCAGTGCAGCGGCTACTGAAAGGCAAGATCTTCCATTAGCTTAAGTAAGCACGGTAGGGGGGGAGCGGAGAGCGCATTCCCAAGAGTCGCTGTTGGAACCGGCTTTCTCCTTCCAGGGCATCGAAACAGCTCTCCTGCCGCGTTACAAACCCTGACTTCTAAAGTCGGTTTTGTTGTAATCAGCCTAACAACTGAGATACTTGACTTTCCTTTCCCTACTTATCTCCTACTCATGTAAAGTGAAAGATTTTACTTCAGGGCAAAAGTTATGACGGCAATAAAATGAAAAAAAGGAGGCTCCTGATATTTTCTCTGAGTGTACTTCACTAACCCCAGAGTGGGGGGGGGGGCGGGAGGGCAAAGCAAACTCTCCCTCCCCCAAAACAAAACATCTTCAGTCTCCTTTCAGAAACGCGATTTACCCTTTGATAAGCCAATGGGTCTATCAGCTCACCCTCTGTTGCAAAGTCTTTGGACTTTTAAATTGCGGATTGGTATTTGTGAACAAAGATAAATCTTCACTTCCATCTGGCTTATTTTCCTCATTGATTGGTACTGCCCTACAGGACTTAAAAGTGGAAACTACACTGAATTCTATTTAAGGGAGATTTAAGAGTTATCATTAGATCATGTTTTTGAGATGAAAGGAAATTTAAAATTTGGTATAAGGAAAATGAAGTTTTACTGTTTTCATAATATCTCTAATATTTTAACGAAGAAGGGTTCATTTTTCCTTCTTTGCCAGTAGCTATATTTATTTTTCAGTGTAGGGATTTTTAAGAAGACATGGAAGAGCAGAATAACATGTTAGAAAATTGTTTTAAAGATGGATTAGAAGAAATAGCCTTAAAGGGTGAGTAAAGAGAGGCCTTTGTCCCAGGAAGAATTCCCAAAGATAATTCCTACTAAGGAGGTAAGTTGTGTGGCTGCTGTTAGTACATTGGACAGCTCCCAGAAACAGCCTATTTCTTACAGGTCAGCACAATTCCTTTTCTTCCTAGCCTCCCCTGTGTACTCCCAGATACTATTAAAGCAGTATCATCTTGAATTCTTCTCTCATTCATTTTTTTCTTTTACCCCATTTGTGTCTATGTTCTCCCTTACTCTTTTGTCCTTTAGTTGATTTTCTTTTCTCGCGTTTATTCTTCACCCCCAAGTGTGCATTGTGTTAGGTAAAGAAGATTGAAATATATGTTCTTGAAAGATGTTAATGAGTATGAGATCCTTGATTATGATTACCTATTGATTTTTACTCAACTTCTTTCAAAGAGAAGACTGAGAAATAAAAAATGAATTAGAATTTCAACATTGGTTAAAGGATAAGTAAATGGGAGAATTATTTATTTTTTTGGCAAGCAGTAACATGCTTTCTAACTCTTGTTTAACTTAATGTGTTTTTTAATATTTGGACACATTTTATACTTGATTTTTAGTTGTTAAATATTTCTCATAACTTCTCTTTTAAGCGCAAACGTAAGTGGATTAAATACCTCATCTTGTGAGAATCTAGTTTGACAACAAAATATATTAAGACACTTATTGAAGAGAAACATGAGAGACATTTAAAAGTAAAATTTAATAAAATAGATGTCAGAAGCTATCATGGGACTTGAAACATTTTTCTTGGACTAAAATTCTTTATGATTTTATGCAAGGGGGTGAATATTTCAATAACCTTATCACAAAGGAAACTGAAGCAAAATTAATGGAACCCAATGCATAGGATTGGTTTGAAATATTAATATTAAAATATTAGGGAATTTATTAAGAATGTCTTAATAGGTATGTCTGTAGCAATAATTTAAAAATATCCCAAGATTTTTAAAAAATCCCAAAATTTAAAAAAAAACCCAAAATGTAAAAAAATCTCAAGATTAATACTTCTGCTTATACCAAAATAATTTCAGTTTATCCTACAAGGTTCTAATCCTGGGGACACAAGTAGAGCAAAAATGTTAAAATCTAAGTTGTAATGATTGACTCTGTTTTTTGTTTATAAATATAATTATGGAACAGAAATAAGTGAAATTGTTTTTCTCTTCTTCTTTTGAAACATCTACTCTAATTTTAAAATGATCTTTTGGAGAGGTGCCTGGGTGGCTCGGTCAGCTAAGTGTCTGCCTTCGGCTCAGTTCATAATCCCAGGGTCCTGGGATGGAGCTCCACATTGGGCTCTCTGCTCAGCGGGAAGCCTGCTTCTCCCTCTCCCTGCCTCTCCCCCCTGTACTCTCTATATCTGTCAAATAAATAAATACATAATCTTTAAAAAAGAAAATGCTTTTGTGGATATTTGGTTTCACAGTAAATATGCATAGTAAATATAGTTAAGTTTATATAACTGATTTGAAACAGTTCATCCCAATGGGAGGAACCATTAAGCCTCATTAAACTTACTATTCATTTTGTTAAAATATTTCCAAATGAAATCAGTATCTTTTCTGCCCTTAGAAGCTCCAGGAAAAATTTCAAGAAATGTAAAAGGAAATCAATTCTAGGGTTTATCCATACTTAGAGTTAAATTCTTGCTTACATTCAAACTCACTTATTGCTATTCTACTTATAATCCTGAGTTCAAATGAAAGTAAGGGCTCCTCAGAATGTTGTAGTTCAGGGATTGGCAAACTTTCTTTTTAATTGGCAAAATAGTAATTTAGGCTTTTTACAGGTCATACAATCTCCGCTGAACTACTCAACTTTGCTTTTGTAGTATAAAGGTAGCCATAGACAATATGTAAATGAAAAAGAATGGCTGTGGTCTCTGAAACTTCATTTACAACATCATGTAGTGGGCTGGATTTGACTCTTGAACTGTAGTTTGCTGACTCTGCCCTATTTAATAAGCCTATCTTCGCATTCCTTGGAATACCTCTTATGGGGACTTGCTAACATAAAGCATTCAAACATATACCGGGGTGCCTGGGTGACTCAGTCATTATGTGTCTGCCTCTGGCTCAGGTCACGATCCTGGGGTCTTGGGATCAAGCCTCACCAGGGTCCCTGCTCAGAGGGAAGCCTGCTTCTCCCTCTCCCACTCCCCCTGCTTGTGTTCCCTCTCTCACTGTCTTGCTGTCAAATAAATAAAATCTTTTAAAAAAAGCATTCAAACATATAAGTGAATATTAAGTTGTTGAGCACATATCTTGTTTATATGTGTATATGTGTGCCAGGAAGATGCAGAGGAAGTGTAAAAATGCTCCTGAAGCAACTGAATTTGTAGGTACCGTCATTGAAATGACATTGAGGTATGTTATAGAGTAAGAAGAAGAGGAGGCATACATAACAGGCTAAAGTTACCATTGCCCAGACTGAAGGCTTTCTAGTCACTGAAAGAAAACAGATACCAAATATGATGATCTGCTCTTTAAAATATTAGCATTACCAGTTTTTGGGTGAATTACATTTAACTAAGAATAAGTAAGGAAAAGACAAAATTCCTGGAAAACAGTCTCCTACTTTGTGAAGTGCTTTCAATTGTCAAAATTCATTCAATGAAGGCAGATGTTTCAAGAGGTTTATTTATTTCCACTCTTATTTCCACCTACCCCCCCCCAACAACTGTGGCAGAAACTGCTCAGCGTTCCCCAGTATCTACTTACTTTTTTTCCTTTTAGTAACAGACCCACCCACACATATGTTAACTGGGCACATTTCTGACCCACTTCATTTTTGCTGAGCACATGTCTACCCCTTGACCATGGAGTAAATGAGACATAATCTGTGCAAGTTCAGGTTGGTCTTTGGAAATGAAATTGTTTGCTATCCACTTGGTGTTTTGTTCTCTTCGCCTAGCCTGGAAGGTGGGTGCTCTGGCAGTGAGCTAGCACTGACCATGTAAGCAAAGACAACACCCTATGGCAGGGGGTGGAAGACGTTTTCTATACAGGGCCAGATAGTATCTATTTCAGGTTTTGTAGGCTATATGATCTCTGTCACAACTATTCAGTTCTACCACTGTAAGGTGAAAACAGCCACAGAAAATACATAAATGAATGGAAGTAGCTACGCTCCAATTTTACTTACAAAAGTAGGTGGCAGGCAGATTTTGATTCTCAGGTTGTAGTTTGCTAAATCCTGCCCTAGGTGATGCAGAGCAACAGAAGGCTGGGACTTGAAATGCTCTCATGAAGTGAGCTGTACCTCTCAAATTCAGATTAGTATGTGAAAAAAATATATACTTTTCAGCGTATCTCAGGTCTCTTTACATGCTTTTTCTGCTGGTGCCTAAAAAATTAGACAATGATTTGAAAGATTAAACAGATGCACTACTTTATTTTTATTTTTTTCAAATTTTTATTTAAATTCTAGTTAACATATAGTGTAATATTTGTTTCAGGAGTAGAATTTAGTGATTCATCATTTACATATAACACACAGTACTCATCATAGCAAGTGCCCTCCTTAATAACCCATCACCCATTTAGCCCATCCCCCACCCACCTCCCTCCATCAACCCTCAGTTTGTTCTCTATCACTAAGGGTCTCTTACAGTT